AGCAGGAAAGCCGGAAGCGGGTGCGAGCAGTTGGCGCATCAGTAAGCAAGGATGCGTGAGCCCGGGGAGGGGCGGGGGGCGAAGCGAGAGCGGCGGTGAGAATGCGGGCAGTGCTCGATTCAGGGCACAGGAAGCAGAAGCGGGTGAGAGCAGTTTGGCGACATAAGCAGGATTGCGTGACGGGGAAGGGGCCGGGGGGGGATGCAAAGGCAGCAGGGCGAGAGTGAAAAGCGGGGCAGGAGTTCCGACCAGGGCCAGGCAGCAAAAGCGGGAGTTTGGGGGGGTGAAGCGGGAGAGGCAGCGGGTTCATGTTCGAGCGGAGCGGAAGCTGCGGTGAGACGTGGGCTGGGCGAGCAGGTCCGTTTTGTCGCGTTCTCGGCATTATTAGAGCCGTGGAGGAGAGACGGACCTGGCGGCGATAGCAGACGGCGCGACGTTTGGGCTGGAACTCGGGAAGGGGGCGGCCTCTTCTCCTGAGAGGGAAGCCGAGAAGAAAGGACTGGGGAACGAAGACAGCGGCTTTGACGATTTCCGCGATAGGAAGCGCCTGTGGCAGCCAAGAGACAGGGCTGAAGGGAATGGAATGTGGTTTGCTCCGCTAGATTCAAGAAATCACAGACTCGTGGATTTTCTCCAGTGTCGTGAGTATGTAGTAAATCTCTATGAAGACCGTTACCCTAATATTACTCCCACGCCGTTATGAAAAAGTTATCACTCATATCGTGCGTGTCAAGCGTTCTCTACTATTTTCACTGCAGTCGAATTTTTAAGAAGTAATAACAATGATTAATAAATTTCTGAAGCAGCATAGTATTGAGATTAACGTTATTAATGTTATTTAAAACGAACAGTCATCAAGTTGAACAAAATGATGATGTAATAATAGGCCATAAATAAGAAATTATATGAAATCGTGTGTAAAAAAAATAACACCGCTGCACACATGGACTTACTTCCTGAAATAAAGGTCATAACTGAATAAGTCATGGAATTATGAATGGTTGATTACATTGCAGAATTTTCTACACGATTAAAAAATTAATTCAACTTTTCAATATTGTCACGGAAGAGCTTTATAGAGAATTGCTTTTCACAAATTGTGCACATCTATTAATTATTTTTAATTCGTTTGAAAGTATTTGAAATAAGCGTTATATCCACAATTTTTCTATAACGGAACCAGACACCTAACTACGGCATACCGTTGTAGAACGTGGAAACCTCATAAAACATAAAACTAATTCTTCAATGCGTCAGAAGCACTTGGCGACATTTGTAAAAACCTGCGCAAATGTAACGTCAGTTCATTTTTTCTCTTGAAATACCCTTCAAGCTTAATAACCGTTTCCTCTCTAGTTTCATTCTTTACCTTCCCGAGTACATCAAGCAAAGCTGTATTTACTCTCCATTGCAGGGAAATTTTGCGTACGGTGAGGGTACATTTGTCAAAAGACCTTGTAATTAAAATAAAATCCCTTTGAAACTAAGAGATAATGAACAAGTAAGCGGCCAGTGGAAATACTGAAAGTGGCAAGGCAGAATTCATTGGACGTCTATGTTCTGTTACGTTCGTTGAATGGTAAAAAGCAGTTAATGTTCACATTTGCCAAACATGTTTGTGCACTCTCCAAATTACGTGGTCACGTACTGGATCAACAATTACCTTGTGTGCAGCATGTGTAATGCAGCTAACGGGTATGAATATTAATATACCGTTGCTGCATTCAGTGAATAAACAGTTCGTTTTTGTGTGAAGATAGTACAGTTTGCGTTCACTTCGGCAATATAATTTTCATCTTTTCCACTCGGCAATTTATTTTATCAGCACGTTCGCTAGACGGTATATTGTCACTGTTGATGACAAGATTACTCTATTGGAAAATGCTGTGTAATTATGCCTCTATGAAGCGAGGAGATGTTTACACAAAAAAGTTATTAATTAATGTTTCATGTCGCATAAACATTCGTAATCACGTGATTTACGATTGATATTTACGAGTTGGTGATCAAAAAGAGACATGCGTATAATGAATCGTTATGTATTATTATAGATGTCATTAATGTCATTTCCTCAAAATAGACACAGCGGCATCAAATAAATCCATTCGATGATTATTGTATTACTAATAATATTAAATATGTAATTGATATGAACATTAAACATCTGAGATACAGAGAATTTTAAACAACGATCTATTCCAGTACTTTTGATGTGTATTAATTTGTACATGCCATATATTACGCTCGTTCTTATAAAGTTTTATTTCACACCATGTTCCCGGAACACGCGTTTTTGACGATGCATTCAAATCAGAAATTTCTCATTAATATTAATAACGATATTGACTGACTATAAAATAGTTATAAAATAAATCAAGCCTCATTTTTTAATGTTCGTGTTTTGTAAATTTAAGCTCGGTATTTTATTTTGTGAATACCATATTATAAAATGGAAAGAGCATGCTATGATATCAACAAAGTATATAAATACTCACTGATGTTGAAATATCGTTAATATTAATAAAATTCTAGTCAAGTACGCTGTTACGTCATGTATGCTTTGTGAGTGGTGGGGAATACTGAGGCGGGGGTGGAAGCACGCAAGGGACAGCTGAGAGGCAAATGCTACGAGCCCAGTGACAGGAGCAAAGGTGGGGCCTCGTCAGTCTCTCGGGCAGGGCCTGAGCGCTGCGGTTTTTGTCTGCGGACCCCTGGCAACTCGCTCTTCTCCGCCGTCTCCCGCCCCCACCTCCGCTCAAAGCTGCGCGGCCCTCTCCGCCTCCGCCCAGCGCCGCGGCCTCGCCGCTAGTCGCTACCTCCTCCATTGCCGCTTCCCGCTCTGCTGACACGGTCCCTTCCCCCCCCCGACCAACCACCACCACAACCGCCCGCGCCGCCACCGCCACCACCACCACCCCTACCACACCACCACCACCACAACAACATCTACACCACCACCACCACCACCACCACTGCCACCACCACCACGCCTACCACCACCACCACCACCGCCACCGCCCACCACCACCACCACCGTCACGCCACCACCACCACCACCACCACCACCATCACCACCAATCACCACGCACCACTCACACCACCACCAACCACCACCACCACGCACCCCCATCACTATCCCCCAGCTCCCCCTCCGTCTCCGCCTGCTCGCCCTAGCTCATGTCTACGGCACCCGCCCCGTCCCACGTCCCAGCCACCGCTCCGCCAATCGCACATCCGCCCTGCTTCGTCCTACCGTCGGTCTTCCACCATCGCCTCCGACAACGCCCCGACCGTTCCCCCCAAGATTTGGCCCCCACCACGACCCCCGTTCATCCCCCCACGCCGATCGTCTTCAGCCAATCCGCCCTAGAACATACACAGTCGCCACGCCACTCGGCTTCATCATCGCCCCCCCCCCATCCCTCGGGCTATGGCCCCCGCCACCCACCGTCATCGCCCTCCAGCTATCGACCCTGTCCCACCCCCTTGCCATCCCCCTCGCCATCACCCCCATCTCTCCCCAGCCTCGCTCCCACTATCGCTTCCCACCATCGCCCCCCGCCCATCGCCCCCGCCCCTCACCCCCGCCCTCGCCCCCGCCATCGCCCCCGCCATCGCTCCTCGCACATCGCTCCTCGCCATCGTGCCCCCGCCATCTGCCCCGCCATTTCCCCCGCAGATTATCACGCGCCACTTACCCCCGTCGTCGCCCCCCCCCACCATCGCGAACGCCACGCCTTGCCCCGCCATCGCCCGACCATCGCCCCTCGCCCACACTCCAGCCGCCTTCCCCGCCTATAGACATCATCTTCGCTCTCACCCTGTCCATTGGCGGTGCATGTCAACCCGCGCCACAACACCATTTCCCTTGACGCTATCGTCTCTAACCCAGCACCATCAACCCCATCGTCACCACCGTTCCTTACCCCCATCCCCGCCACCGGCCTGTGACCGTAACTGCCGCCTTGCTGCACCGCTACCCCCCGGCCCCGCCTCCTCCGCCGCCGCCGCCGACCCCGCGAGCGCCGCCCAAGGTTCCCAAGACGTCGTCGTTCGGGGCAATTAGCCGGCCGTCCCGCAGAATATCGCATTGAGCTATGGCGCACTCGCGCGACTGGCAGCCGCACGTCGACGCGGCGCGGGGCGAGAACGAGTTACACGCGCGGCAGCGGCAGAGCGTAGGAGCGGGCGGCGGTGCCGGCCGTGACGGCATGATGTGCTTAACAGCAGTGCGCGTGGCGGTGGCGTGCCGGTGATGACGGTGGCAGGTGTCGGTGGCGGGTGATGAACGGTGCAGTGATGACGGTGGGTGATGACGCGTGGTACTGTGCGGCAGAGGTGTCGCGGCGGTGGCGGTGGCTACCGGTGACGGCATAGTGCTTTAGTTGGCAATTGTGGCGGGTGGCGGTGGTGACTGTGCTAGTGGAGGCGGAGATCGACGTTGGCTGAAGTATGTCAGGCGCGCGGTGCGAGGGGGATGGCGGCGCGGAGGTAAGCAGTGGCGGCAGGGGTGGCGGGGTGGCGGCAGGCTGGTGGTAGGCGGAATGGTGGTGGCGGTGGCTTGCTGGCCGCCAAGGACGGCATTGGTACTTGGCACGCGCCAGTCTTAACGGCGATGACCGGTGGAAGGGGCTGCAGACGTGGTCGCGGCGGTTAGGCGGTTTGTTACACACAGTTCGACGGGCAGTTAGATGCCTAGTAGCAATGGTGGCGGTGACGAACGACGGACGTGGCAGTGGGAGGCGCGAGTGGACGCGTTGGTGGACGGTTCAGCGCGGGGTGGGAGGGTGATGGCGGGGCGGAGGTAGCATGTAGGCTGCAGGAATGGGGTTGCGGCAGCGGTGAGACCGGAGGTTATGGCAGGTGGGGGCGGTGGCTGCGGTGACGGCACAGCGTACTTGCTGCGCTGTGCTCGGTGGCGGAACGTGGCCGGCCGGTGACGGCACTTAGAGCGGGAGCTTTACGGTGGCGGTGGCGGCTGGCGGCGGCAGTGGGCAGTAATGGTGGCAGTGGGCGGAGACGACGGTGCTGGAGTTGGGGCGGCGGTTGTGTGGTGATGCAAGCGGCGAGGCGTGGCGCGTTGTGCGGGGGCGGGGGCCGCCGGTGACGGCACGGCGGCGACGATGAATGAGACGGTGTCAGCGGATGTAGCCGGAGAAGCATGTCCAAGAGGGTGGAAGCGAAACTGCAGGGCCGGTAGAAACGGCGTGGGTGGGTAAAGGAGGCAAAAGCGACGTTGGCTTCAGGGGAAGAGGGTAGTGAGCGATGAAATAAGAGGATGGTGGGGAAGGAATGGTGATGTGGGAGCATAGGCTGGGACAGTCGGACTCTGTGGGTGACAATGTCGATGTCACTGATGAATGAGTAATTTTTCAGTGTTTTCGGGTATAATAATAAAGTCAGTGGAATCCCATACAGGGCACAGGTAGCTCCAAGATAGTTCATTAATTTTAAGGTTCACAATTGACCTACGTGATTGTGGGGTTATTAGATTAACACTCTTAAGTTCACATGTTTCCATTTTCATACTATTTTAAGTTCATATTAGTATTCTTTTGTTGGTTGGTATCTTTTATTTCTATTTTCTTCTAATTTCCGTGTTTCTTATGTAGTCTTTTAGCGATAATCTTAGCATTTTACTTTCCTTTTTTCTTTGAGTTGCTTATAATCCTTTCTTTGTTTTGCTCGATTAATGACCATGTCTGAGCGCCATACATTAGTACAGGGAGAACACAACTGTCGAGGATATCTTTTCTAATTTTTATCGTTTGTGTTTTTTACATTAATATAGAACGCAGATTCAAAATAGAAACTTTACCTAAGCTTGTGATGTTCTTCTATTAATTTTTTTTTGTTTTTACTGTTTTGGAATGAAACAATTTGTCCCAGATGCACATACTCCTGAACATAATTAATAATATCTGGACCTAGTTGGATTTTCCGGTGAGTTAACTGTTTTGGTGATTAGTCTCTTAAGTGTAGTTCACGATAAATTCCGGAAAATGGCTCTGTCCTCCCCCGCGAAATACTATCCGGCACCCACCTATACACCGGAGTGCAAATTTTCTCTCCTCCACAAATCTTCTCCAGCAGGGCATTGCCAAAGACGAGACACGCTGCCGGCTGTTCCCCCTGTATGTCTATAGTGTACAGTTTGTGTTTGTGTGTGTGTGTGTGTGTGTGTGTATGAATGTGTACGTGAGAGAGGAGAGAAGATAATGAGTGGTGAAAGATTCCGGAAGATCCATGATCCTTTTGTTAGCGTACTACCCTGGTTTTGGCTGGTACTGATCTGAGAAATCGAAGAAAACTACCGATCAGAATTCTCCTTCATACTGGCTGAAACCAACCAAGCTAGGCTCAAATTCCGCCACCGTCAGTACTCGAACCGTAGAACCTTCCAATCAGAGACGCTACAGCGGCAACGGATGAGGTTACTGAGCTACCTCAGTCGTTGAGACACAAACGACGAGAAATTAGAGCGTAGGGGAACAGACAACAGCGATGGGGAAGTGAGGGTGACAGCACACGCGAGTATGTCGTTACTTAGGTGGCGGTCAGAGCAACTGCGGGAACCAAAGTTGCTCCCAGTAGGGCGATGGAGGTATTGGCGAAGACGGTACGGGATAAGGACGGAGTGTGGAGAATTTTGACGTCAGAGCCAAAAACGAATGAGTGACTGCAGTGTTAAATGACGCCGGATATGTAAGGTGTGAAACGTTGGTGTGGTACTAACTGCTGTGATAGTGGTACGGATGATCTTTGGTGGAGTATAGAGGCAGGAAAAATAGAATGTGTAGTGTAGCAGTCACCTGCAAGTGATGGATACAAAACACATGACGCTGATGGACAGAGGAGAAGAGAAGAGTTAGTGATAAAACGACGAAAGTCAATGAGATATTTAGTAAATGGCTTCATCACAATGGACTAACCAAAACATATGACTAAATCGTAACTGTGTTAAAGCCACGTGGGGAGGAGGTAGCGACCGATTGAGTCAAGTGCCAGTTGGACTTCGAGGCTGGAGACTGGTAATGGGCTAATGGAAGAGGTGTGAAGAGATTGATTGGACACAGAATCCGAACGGAATATTTTGATTAAAAGAGGGGTCGGGAAGGACGAGACATATGACAAAGCATCATTTAATGTTACTTGTATCGCTTTTAAGTTTTTGCAAGTGATTACACTATCAATGATACTATAAAGGAAGATATCAGAGGTTGAGGTGTCGATTTTGGGTACTGTAGCGTCATTGGTCGTGATGGTTTTGCGTGAATTAAGTCTGATGCTAATTGAAGAAATAACAATGGAGTTGCCTAAAGCAATACATACTAGTGGAAGCTGTTTATTTTAAAATTTGCGATTGTGTGTGAATAGAACCTACTGTGAAATTGACAAAGAAGCTAGATCTGGACAAATTATATAATTTCTGAATGACGATGAGCGAGACGGCCATATAAATTGTAATTTATACCTAATTTAGGATGAAGATAATTATAATGTATTATTTCATATTTAAGTCATGGAAAAATATATTGAGTAGATTACTAATTCATGTAAATGTAATATTATAATTGTCGAAGTATCAGTCAGAAAATCGTCAACAAAAAAGTGATTGATTGTTTTTCATTATTCTGCTCCTTCCGACGTGCCAAATCAGTATCAAAATTTTAAAGAACACGACATAAATTTTGAAAAAAGGTATTTTACTAAAAAATTCTGAACTATTGAATTGTTCTATTGAACTATTGAAGTCTGTACTCTTACTATTTTTAGAGTCTCCTAACTTTTTTCTTTTCTGTGTTGCTTTATAGCACATACGCCTAGGAGCAACACAGCATCACAAAATTTTAAATTGAAACATAGTGATTGAAAATGGTATTGTAATACAAAATTATTTCAGCAACATAACTAAAATACACATGAATGGAGTGTGTAAGCAATAAATGTATGCAATATTTTCATTACAACTTATCCCTAATGTTATAATTTAACTAATAGTAAGAATTATGTTGTTCGTTCAATTTTTTGTTAAAAGTGCTCATATATCCTAATAAAATGAGCTAAGAATTTAACTCTACCGGAAATGTTAATATATCACAGTGTCTTACACGCCTCCCCACCATCTCTCCATCTTCTCAGCACCTTCTCCCTACAATGGTGTCCACAACACAATCTCCACCCCAATCGATACAAATATTCGCTTTCCCTATATTTATTTCCACGTTATGAAATCCAAATTAACAAATTGTCAAACATATTTTAACACGCACGGTAAAACACCATGTAACAGGCTTCAAGTAAAGATACAAGTATACGAATGTGCTGTTTACTCATGTACGCGTATTTGCACTTTTATTTAATAAAAATTCACAATCTGTTTGGATTTTGCTTCAAGCAATGAGAAGTTCGAATACATTTACGAACGTAATGTGCATTACTTCTGCTTTTTGTATTTTATGCAATTTTAAATGTCACATTCGGGTGTATACATTCGGATTTTTAACAATGACTCGGTAATCCAGGAATTTAAGCATGCTTGCAGATATCTCCATGAGAAAGGCCAACTGGCACAAAACCCTACCAAAAATAATTTAAAGTAAAATAAAAACATAGCTGCAATGTACATACCGTTAATAATACGCTATTAATGGCAACATTGCTAATACAACATTAACACATGTTGCTGTTTTCAAACTCATTAAAACAACAAGGTGGTACTTCACAGGATAAAGCTCGCGAAGGGTCATTAGGGAAAGGGTGCAGTACATTTCCGAGAGGTAAAACAGTAAAAAAATGCAAACCGCAAAATATTAAAAGGTAAAATTTTAAACCTACAATTTCAGTGACGTATCATGACATACGTAAAGTGTTGGGTTTTGTAATTTTCGTAAATGCCATGTTATGTTCCATAAAAGATTCTTGCATTGTCATCTTGCCATTATTTTATTTCCATTTAGCAGCAAGGATCCATAAAATAAATAGTAATATGAGTACAATATAGAAATTTTGTAGATAAATGAAATTTTGTAGTTGATTTCTGATGAAAATGTGTGTTTAGAATTTCAACTCTAATCCTTGTGGGCGTGTTTCATTATAACCTAGGGGGATGTTTTTATAAAAATTTGGAGAGATTCTAAAAGCCTTTAATAAAAAAAAGTATTAACAAGCCAGATTTGATAACCGCCGTAGTCTGTTGCTTATAGAGATCCGAAAATTTCTTGACATAATGTCTGACAACTTTATTCATAACTAAGTGGCAGATTTAAATGAAATGTCATTTTTTCTCTTTTCATTACAGAACAATGCTTTTTAGAATCAATTTATTTTATGTCATGACGAAACGAAATGACCCATTTTGTGTATTTTTTTGCATATTTCTTCGATTTAAACCAATAAGTCATTTTTTACCTCTTTACGTTATTTTCACAACATTTTTTGCTGATTTCATCGATTATAATATCATTTTAATGGTACTTGCTTCAAACAATATTTATGTGAGGCAAATGTTCACAGAATTCCTTAGTAGTGTATTCGATCTCTTCATATATTGCAATGCCAGCGGTCGTGAGTACAATGCATTCCAACCTACGGGATGCATTACATTACTTTTTATCTGAGATAACGTTTTATGGGCTTATACTAAAATTTAAGAAATTATTAATAATATTACATTAGGAATTGTTTATTATTTTCATTGAATTAGAGAAATCATTTTGAGTTATTAGAAAATAAAATTTAAACGAACCCACCTTTTCTAATAACCTTCTGGGGGCTGATGAAATGCATTAGTACGTAAATGGTTCCGTGTGTAGCTGTAAATGTATATGTATGGTGGAGGGGGATATTTTGACGATGTTAATGGGCGTCTAGAGGCGTGAATTAGAACCACGGGGTAAATGATGAAGTAGGGGACTGCGTAAAGGGGATGCTCGTATTTTGGAGGAGAGGGATGTTGGAATAGGTGAGTTAATGAGAGATCAGGTGTTTGCAGGTGCGTGTGAGTATAGACTTGTGTCCGGCTGTGTGAATGGGTAAATTGATGGCC